GAGCCATATCCCCAGCCCAAACAAATTTAAAGTTATATTATTTTCTGGTGTATATAGTCTCTCTTCTATAATTATAGTTTCTTTTCTTTTCTTTTTTTTTTTTTTACCTTACACATAGATTTCCATAAGGAATCCATGTGGTTCTGTTTTGAATATTGTTCATCTTTAAAGCATAGTGTGGGAATGAACAGTGACAGTGAACCGTGGGTGGGTTCAGCACAGGTGTTAGTGATGACTAGTCTAAGAAGCCTCTCAAGCCAGTAGGAGTTCTCTGCCTCAACATGAAATATCTCTTATCTTAGATTATTGTTTTTATTTTACTTTAAAATTTTTAAGCAATTAGAGATTCATAGCAAAGTATAAAAATACCATAAAAAGGTCCTATGAACACTTCACCAAGTTTCTCAATACTTATGTCTTACATAATTATAGTATATTATTAAAACAAGGATGGAGACACTGATACAATGCCTTTTATGGCATTTTTATTTCTATATTTATTTTTCTGTTTCATTTTATGGCATATACAGATTCATGTAACTACCACCAAAATCAAGATATAGAACTAGGCTATCACCACAAAGATCTCCCTTATTGGTACCCTTTTATAATCATTTCACCTTTCCCCAAGTGTCTGTACCCACTGCGAATGGTCATTTTGAGAATATTGTATGAGTAAAATCATATTATTTATTTTGGAGTATGTCTTTTTTTTTTTTTTTAAATAGTCCTGGGGCTTAAACCTAGGTCTCACACATGCTATGCAAACACTCTATCACTGAGCTATATTCCCACCCTTCCAAGAACATGTCATCTTTTAAGATAACATTTTATGTTTAGTTAAAAAAAAAAAACCCTCAAAATATACTGTCTCACATTCCTACCAGCTGTGTATTCAAAGAGCCAGATTCTTCCACATCCTTGTCAAGAGTTTGTCACTGTTTTATTTTAGTTCTGATAGGTGTATGTTGATAAGGTCTTTTTTTTCTCTGTAATTTTTTTATTAGTGATTTATAGTTGTATATAATGGTGGGATTTGTTGTTCAATTTCATGCATGTATACTTATGGTCTTAACTTTTATTCAAAGTTGGTTTTTAAAATTTGTAATACTGGACATTGAACCCGGAGTGCTTTACCACTGGCTTACATACCCAACTTTTTAGATGGACAGATTACGTTTATTGTTTGCTTTCATATGGTGCTAAAGATGGAAACTAGTGTGCCACACATGCTAGGGGAAGACTCTGCCACTGAGCTAAAGCCTCACCCGCCTTTTACATTTTAATGTAATTATAATATTTTGTTGACATTTTAACATATTATTGCCAGAAATAGTGGAAGTGGATTCTAATATCAAACTAACTTGATTTTCAAATGAAACATTGATCCTAACCTCACATGTATGTAGAAAATATATCTATTAGTAACACATACTTTACCAAATTTCTCATACATAAAAACCATGTTGGGTACATTTAGATTTTTACTATATTTAAAATTGCAAAAAGCTTTATCTTTCTATATCTCCATGTAGCCAGTGAACTACAAGGTTTGTCTGATAATTATAAGGCTACAAAGCCCAATAAGACCTACATTTTAGAAATTATCAGGAAGACCTATGCTTTAAGTGAAGCCTTAATCTTTATCTTTGGGGGAATTGAGATTTTCAGTTTTCTGAATAAAATATTTAAGACATAGTACACATTAGAATTAATGGTTGAAAAATCACTGATTTTAAAGAATTTGTTCAATATAGAAATAAATTGTATTTTGAGTTCTATTTAAAAAATATAGGTATTGAAAAATCAGGATTCTAAGGAGGGCAACAAAAATTACTTGAATGTTTGTATATATATATATATATATATATATATATATATATATAAAGAATATCAGAATGCAACCACCTAAATACAGTTTAGTACTAAAGTAACACATCCTGGAGAACTGGATTTTGGGGGAAAAATGGTTGAAAGATTATACTCCCATTTTTGCAATGGCAGTCTTTTTTAAAAGCCATTATTAGTCATGTGAATGTGTTATAATTTTTCCTTATCATACAGTTCACTTCCAAACTTTAGATTTTATGATGCTCAAGAATTTCTAAATGTCTTCATACTAAAATATTAAGTTAATTAGCTCTTAATATTTTTAGTAGTAAATATAAACCATTATCTAAAACCTATTTCATTAATTGATGATTGGTTTTGCTTTTCAGCGGGGGTCTGATGAACTTCTTTCTTCTGGTATTATTAACGGATCTTCTACAATGAACAATTCTACTCCTTCTACAGGTGTGTATGGTAAGTTTTAATTTTCTTTTCCAAATATTTTATTTTTATGAGTTTTAATTTTTTAATAGTGTTCCTATTTTGCTCATCTTATGAACATGTTGAAGTGATACTGTTTATAATATAATATAAACTAAAAATTTGTTGTATTGAGATACTGTACTGTTTATGTAGATGAAATCACCAGTTATAGCTCTCTAAGTTTTAAGGATTCCTTTGAATCTAATTTGATAATTCCTTTTTTATTGATTTGTATTACATAGTTGTGATGAAACTATCATTGATAAGTTTGTGATCCAGAACTACTGAGCGAAAGAGCTGCTCATTGGGGGACTTCTTTGGCTCCTCCCAGGCGACCCAGCCAATCGGCCTCAAGAGCAGGAGGAGGGGGGAGGTGGAGAGGCTTGGGGGAAGCCTGTGGTGGCAGTTGGGCTCTGAAGGTTTTTCCTGAGGAGCAGTTTTGTTTGGCGTGTGTGGTTCTAAAAATAAAGTTCATTTCTTTTGACAAGTGGCTCCTGAATTGTGCCCAGCCAGACTTTGGCATTGGAGAACTTGTAGAAGATAAAATTGACAGTAATTGGTAATTAATTGAATGTTTAAGGGATTCTATCAATGACTTCTAGGCTTTTAGAGTTGGACTTTGATAATTAGATGAGTGGTGTGCTGTTCATTTCTGTCAGAGAATATAGAAGAACATAGTAGGTTCAGATTTGTATATATTGAGTTTGAGGTTCATGTGGAACATCAAATAGAGATTTCACACAGCAGTGGTTTCCTGATCTCAACAGTACAAGAGAAATTTGGTTCTTGGTATCAAACAATTGACAGTGGAAACCATGGGAATGAAGAAATCTATAAAAAAAATGGAGTTTTAAAAATATATATTTTTAGTTGTAGATGGACACAGTACCTTTAATTGATTTATTTTTTTATGTGGTGCTGAGGATCAAACTCAGTGCCTCACATGTGAGGCAAGAGCTCTACCACTGAGCTACAACCCCAGTCTCAAAAAGGAGAATTTTTATCTGGATCTTTTTGGAATAATATAGGGAATGAATAGATCTCTCTTTTATGAGCTGACATGGTGTTTGGGAGAATGAACAGCCTCTACCTGAGGACTTTGTAAGAGAATTGGTCAGTTTTTAATCAGCTAGCAAAAAGAATGAAAACAAATTCTAAGAATGCTTGGGAATTGATTAACTGGTACAGGGCCCCTTCTCTCCGCTATTGATAACCAGGGATCGAATGGCGGAGGTGGGTACTGAGCCACACCTCCAGCTACACACAACACACACACACCCACACACCCCACGCCTTTAATTTTAAGACAGTGTCTTGCTAAGTTGCTTAAGGCCTTGCTGAGTTGCTGAGGCAGCTGACCACCATGGCACAAGGCTGTGATCCTAGTGGCTTGGAAGGCTGAGGCAGGAGGATCATGAATTCAAACCCTGCCTCAGCAACCCAGCGAGGTCCTAAGCAACTTGGCCAGACTTTTTCTCTAAATAAAAAATAATAAAGGGCTGAGAATGTGGCTTGGGGTTCTAAAAAATAAAAAGTTGCTGACGTGGCTTTGAACTTGCAACCCTCCTGCCTCAGCCTCAAGTCACTGGGCTTAAGTACAGCTTTCTAAAGGACTAAATGGAATGATTTTTGTAGGTAGGATAGCAGCAATGGATTTGTTCGTGTGAAAGTATAAACAGATTAATAGTATGGATAAGTATAAACAGATTAATAGTATGGATATTGAGTCTAAAGCAGATTTCCTAAAAGTTAAGCTCACGTTAGAATTGTTGGGGGTGCTGTTAAGACAGTTGCTAAGTTCACTCTGAGCATTTCTAATTCAGAAGGTCTGGAATGCATCCTGAAAATCTGCAAAATACTAATATTGCCATTTTAGGAATCATATTGAGAACTAGATGAAAGAAAGGCTGGCATCTGAAGTTTATAAACCTGATTATCCTCTTGATCTGGTGGCCTTTTAAAAGCTTTTTTGCTTTTCCTTCTTAAGGTTAAACTATATCTTGAATGAGGCCACATATTTGTTCTTATTTTAAAACATCTTGTTGGTTATTTATTACTAGGGATTTAACCCAGGGGCGCTTAACCACTTAGCCACATTCCCTGCCCTTTTAAATATTTTATTTAGAGACAGGGTCTTGCTAAGTTGCTGAGGAGACTGGCTTTGAACTTTCAATTCACCTGTCTCAGCCTCCTAAGCTGCTGGGATTACAGATGTGTGCCACTGTGCTAGACCCTCTGGTTATTTTGTCCAGTCATGTTTGTGAACTATTGGGATAGACGACCAGAAAGACTCATATTTTGGGTAATGATTTAGTGAGGAAAAATGAGATATGGATGTGAATTTTAACAGTTTTGTGTTTGTTTTTGATTTCTTCTTATATACCCCATTTTACTTTAGGTTCTTTGTATTTCTAGCTTCAGTAGAGCCTTTTAAGTGGTAAGCTTTCTTGGACTTTGACTAGAAGTGTCTGTTTCATTACCACTATTAAATGATATTGAATGACAGTTGACTGTTTAAGGTGACTGTTATTTTCTTGTTGAATTTACTATTCTGTTTTTCTTTTGGCTGTCATTACTGAGCAGTCAGACTACCTATCTAGGTTGTTTCTGTGTAGATAGTGTTACTTCTTGCTATTTATTTAAAAATTTTTTATTAGAGCATCATAATTATACATAGTGATTGGTTTCATTTTGACAAAATCATACATGCAAGAAATTTGATTTCAAGCCCCTTTCCTTGCTTTTTCCACCCTTCTGCCCTCCCCCTATTCTCCCTTCTCTACTCTATTAAACTTCTTTTCTTCTGCATATACTTAAAAGTGAAATTTCCTCTGGTTTCTTTATATATGAATATGGTATAATTTTGTTAAATTAATTCTATTTGTCTTCCCTAGCTATTTTTAACATTTTTCTGTTTTTATTCTATGGTTTCATTAGCTATGTCTAGGTATGGATCACTGGTTCTCAACCCTGTATGTTCCTGAAAATAACTTGGAAACATTGAAAAAAACCCCACAGATGCCGTGTCCTATTGAACACCAATTCCAAAATCTCTGAGGGTGGGGAATTGCTTTTATTTATTTTTTTAAACTTTATTGAGGGGCTGGGAATGTGGCTCAAGCGATAGCGCGCTTGCCTGGCATGTGTGCAGCC